CCGAAAGCAACTAGCAACACACACTCTCTCACACACACACACACACACACACAAGTCTTCCAGATGATGGAATGTCCTTTACTCTTCTGACTCATTATAATGTTACTCTTGTGTAGTGAGGGTCAGTAATACGAGCCTGTGTCTCAGACTGGAATTCTGCTCCTTATCTAGTGTTCTGACTGAAGTACTGCTATATTTAACCGCACTAATCTCTCCAGGACTGCAGACAGACGTGTGAGCGCTGGAAACTGTGTGCATCTGTTATGCTTCACACATGACACTTCATAGTGTACACTGCTGTGTAAATGTTTAAATGTTTAAACACAGGTAAATGATGATTTCTGAGTGAACTATCCGCTTGAATCCGATGCAGTATTGTGATTTTTTGCAGTATTTTTGTGACACGGATGCATGTGGAATCTTATTTCTGCCACAGAATAAAAACATTTAGAAAATAGTGAATTTTATCTTAGAATTCAGAGAAAAAAAGTCTGTTTACATATCTTCTGAGGGAAAAAAAAGTCGGAGTTGTAAGATGTAAACTTCATTCAAGGTGGAAAAATCGTTATCCTTTTCATTATTTGTATATTTTTATTATTAAAATATATATTTAATATGATACTATTATATAACATGACATGATATACGCATGGAATCTTATAAAATAATTTATTTTGCATAAAGTAAAGAAAGTGATTAACTTTCCATTTCCTGCCTATAAACTTATTTCTTGCTAAAAATAAAAATAAAACCATAAAAAGCATTTTTGTTACTTGAAAGTAACAAAGCATAATAATAATAATAATAATAATAATAATAATAATAATAATACAACTTTTCATCTACTTGCCATTGACATTTATCTTTTTTAATTTAGTTTAAGTTGAAGTACTAAAATAACTAGAGGTGAAATAAAAACGAATAAAATATATTTAAAATATATTCAAAAAATATTTTTACAAATATATATTTAAACATATTTAATTAAAAAACAAAAACTAATAAAAATGATGAAAACAAAACACATGTATTAAAAATGTAACAAAAAATTGTGACTTAGAATTGTGAATTTATATCTCACAATTGCAAAAAGTTATTAATAATTAATAAAAGAATCTTGCAATTCTTAGTTTTTTCTCAGAATCTCCTCTGAGGAAAAAAAGAGTCTGAATAGCAAGATTTAACATTGAAAAAATGGTTAGAATTGAGAGATTTAGATTCAGAATTTAAAAAAAAAAGGCAGAATTGCAAATGTACAACTCGTAATTCTGATACAAACTAGCAATTCTGAGAAAAAAGTCAGAATTGCGGGATACATTCACAATGACCTTTTTATGCTTGTATTGCATAGCAGAAACAAACATTACATTCAGTCATTTAGCAGATGCTTTCATCCAAAGTGACTTACAAATGAGGAAGCAATCAAAATCAACAAAAGAGCAATGATATGCAAGTGCTATAACAAGTCTCAGTTAGCTTAACACAGTACACATAGCAAGGTTTTTTAATTATATAATAAATAAAAGAAAACAGATAGGATAGAAAAAGAATAGAGCAAGCTAGTGCTAGTGTTGTTAATTGCATAATAAATAGAAAGACAACAAATAGATAGAATACCAAAAGATTAGAAAAAACAAGCTGTGATATTTTAGGCCAGTGCACATTTAAACTGTACTGAGACTGATTGAATTCACCTTATCTCCCTCCACCACGGCTCCGGCCATCTTCAGCTCGTCTTTGGTTTTGTTGGTGCAGTGTTCGCAGGTGCAGTCGAAGAAATACTGCTGCTTCAGCAGACGCCTGCGATCTTCAGACAGGTTCAGATAGTCCACGTACGACACGGTCACTTCTTCTCCAGGGCTGATCTTTCCCAGCGCTCGCAGCTCAATTCTGCGACACAGACAGGCTTCAGTGGGCTTATGACAGAATCAGGAGCGAAAGATGAGATTAGAAACCAAACAGATGACAGAGAAGATACAGAACTAGTCTCACAAGCAGATCCTGCGCTCAGAAGCCCTGCAGATCAAGTAAGTTAACATAAAGAAACTACACATGAGTTCAGTGAAACCAGAGTCATTTTGTATATAGACCCACATGATGATCATATACAACATCTTAACTTGATCTGACAGCAGACACAATAAACAATGGGTCTTATTCACTAATGATTGTGTGGATCGTTCATATTCATATTCATACGCAGAGAACTTCTCAAGAAAAAAGTACACAAATTTCACAACACACAGATGAATTTTTTCTTATAAAACGGAGAGTTCCGGTGCTTGATTCTGATTGGCTGAGCCGCGTTCGAAGCTGTTGTAAATTACTACAAAGTAACATACACCTTTGTTTACGTTTGTCTGTTGCTCGGCAACCAATTTGTTGCAACCACAACTGTTTCTGAGGAGCTACATTGTTTGGTGGAAGAATACTGTTTTTATTAATATCATTACTCTTTACTTGCTCTGTTTTATTTTGTGAAACCGTATATGGAATAACTGTTTTATAAAAGCGATAAGCCCCGTGAAGCCGTGGTTTACAGTGAATGTATAACAGCTAAAGGGGTTTTAGGCACTCCGCTTTCCTAACAACGCCCCTTAGCTGTTATAAATTCACTGTAAACCACGGCTTCACGGGGCTTATTGCTTCATTAACCTTGTTCTGTTAATGAATTTGGAAACTTTCGTCGCTCTCTGCAAACGTGATATTCACTAAAGACGCGCAGCAAGAAGTTTGTCGTCCTCAAAACCCGATCAAACACAATAAAAACCTTTAATACAGAGCCGGATGTCTGTGTTGTTATTCGGAGAAACTGCGCAGCTCAAGATATAGCAAAGCTTTTCTTACTCTTTCACTGCATACAGTGAATATATTTAAAATGATACACATTTTCACAAATACTGTATGTGGTTTTTGTGTATAAGTGGTTTTAGTTTTTTTGTAAATTTAGAATAAATTTCAGAACGTTTTTGATTTGCTCGTGAAAATGTCATACGCAGGTTTCACACACAAATACTCTGCACAAATATTTTCTTACTTAGTATTTTTGTCTTGCTTTCCATTAAAACCATACCTAAAAATTCTTAAATTAAGATGCATTTACTTGAGAAGTCAGAAAGGGGTCATAAAAAATAAACTTAGTTAAAAAATGGAAAACACCATTTTTTTATTTTTTTTTAATAAAAAAAAAACAAGACTTAATATCGTGAGTCATTTTATTTCTCTAATAAAAACATTTTGAAACATTCTGAAAAATGCATCAAAATGAAGTGAGTTTATGCTTAAAAAAAGAAAAATATCAGACAGTGGGCTCAGAAAAACAAACTTGTTTCCCTTTGAATTAAGATTATTTTTCCAACCCCATTGGCAGATATTTGTTCTTGTTTAAAGCTTAAACTCACTTCATTTTGATGCATTTTTTCATTAAACAAGACATTTCGCTTCTCAAGTAAATGTATCTTGATTTATGAATGCTTACGTACTTGTACTGTATATAAATCAATGATAAAAAAATAATAAAAATGAGATTTAAATAGATGCATAAATACATGTAACAGAACAGTACTGTAATGATTTAAGATCATTGATTTTGATTTAAGAATATGCATATTTATACTGGAAAACAAGACCAAAATACTGATACTAAGAAAATCATTTTTGCAGTGTTTGTGCGTTTTCATGCTTAGTGAACGAGACCCAATGCCACACACAGACAAACCTGACAAATGTTGTTTGAGACGAGTGCGGGAAGTCGTAAACTCACATATATTTGCATATTAAAGAGTGATTAGTTGTGGCAGCTGTCAAGACAGGAATGTGTCGGAAGAATCTGCTATTAGGTGTGAAAGAGATTAGAAGAGAAGACAAAAGGACCAACCACCCATCAGCACTCGCCTTTACAGCACAACGCCTCAGTGATTTACTCATCATTACAGAAATTAAACTCTGTCATCATTCGTTCACTCTCATGTCCAAACCCTGCACGGCTTTCTTTCTTCAGTGGAGCACAGAAGAAGATAAACAAACGAGATTAGCATGAGTAAATGATGACGGAATTTCCATTCTGCTTTTTTCAAATAACCCACCTCTGTATAGTTTTATTTTTTTTAAATATCCGTATTTGATTTTGTGTTTAGCCCAGGTTCTAAAGTAGGTGGTGGATGCAAACTCTCATACTGACCCTTAAAATGCATTTATTTCATACTAAGTATAGTTCAAATCTATTAACATTTTTACTGACTAAACTCTATGTGGAGTACTACTTGTGCACAATGCACATTTCTTAATATTAAGCCTAACATGTGTTTTAATGTCACTATTGATGAGGATCGTATGATCTTTGAATAATATCGGTCTTTAAATGCAATATATTTAAAGTGTACCTGAAGTATACTCGCAATAGTTCCTCTTTAGCTCAATCAAATACACTTCAGTATGTCTTTAGTTGGACTTCAGCACTACTTCTGCACAATTAAACTGCATTAAGCACAAAATTAGTTGTTCCAATTTAGCAGACTTTAAGTATACCTGTTAAG